CGCGGCTAAATTTGTTGATGCGTCGCTCGCGGCTTCTTCACGAAAAAGGGGTTGTTCACGTTATTACGGAATTGCCCCTAAAACACGCATCAGAAGGCGCTTAACTTGCAATTATTAACGAATCAAGGTTTCACCTGTGTCTGTCACCGGGTCTCGATGCCACCGTACAGATATTACATACGAACAGGTGTCCCCGAATTAGTGATCACCGAAATTCCTCGATTTAATTATGAACAACTACAATTACAACTATTGGGGGTAGGTACTCGATCGATAGGTGCTTGATAAGTAATCAAAAAATAAACAATTCGAAGATGCAGCTGTTCGGTCGAAAGGAAAAGTGCTCGCTATGCAGATGAATCTCATTACTCTATGCAAATTTAAGCAACAAGGATTACACGTAATTATCCAATTATTTATCAATCCTTGTGAACCTATGTTTAAAAAAGTCATCAAAGAAAGCGAATTCTTACAATTGGCATACTCGTAAACCTACTGTCTTTTAAATGAATTCATTTAGCTTGCAAAACGCTGTAATTTGTGGCGCTTACGGCCTTCGTGGACAATTTTACTTCGCGTGCTTTTTACATTGGTAGGCACGCAGTAATTACAGCCGTTATTATAAATAATACCTACCATGGAATTATAAAATACGAAAGACGCAATGGTAGGTACAGAAGATAAATTGTATTGAGGCGGAATTCAATTTAACATTAAATAAACCGATACAACGAAAGGATCCTCATTCTTCAGTAGGTATTACAATCGATTTTAACGACAATTTATTTTAATCTTACGAAATACATTTTATAGTTAACAAAAATGTATCAAATTCATGTCTTGGGCATTGAGATAATGCTCTTAATCTTGTTCCCAACGTTCTAAGTACAAGAATAACGATTTTGATATGTATCGATCAAAATCCATGTGATCGCCAAAATTGCATCAAATTCATGTCTTGGGCATTGCGGTAATGCCCCTAGTCTTCACTTTCGCACTATACAATCATTTTCTGATGGTCATTTTGTTCCCTTATAGTTTTTGAGGTATTCGAATTTTCAAATGAGACTTCAATTTTACAGTGAGTTTTTGTAGTATAGTATAACGCTCTTCTGGTGTTTATGTTGAGCTTCATCCCGGATACCTTTTCTACTTTAGTTTTGCATATACAGTGTGAAAATGTTTTTTAGAAGACAAATAGGTATATCTCCAAAACAAGATTTTTTAAAGAAGCTTTTTATGGTATCCGAAATTATAAAAAGTTTGCTGTACTTCTGCATGGTCAACGGGGCATATTTTTTGTAATGGCAACTAGGTACTATTTGCATTTAAAGAAACGAACCTGCAATTTCGTCGGCTTAGTAAAAATAGGTAACCCTGAAAAGAAGTTTGCATCGATCTTCTGAGAAGAACACTTATCTGATTTGGAGAAGACAACCTCGACCACTTGGTAGCCTCTGCAATTTCCTCATCAACCACATTTGGTGACGTCAAGTCGTGGTCTTGGTGAAGAGTATTCCCCGGTTAGATCACTGGGATTTTCCCGGCGAAAAAGTCGCGGCCTTACTGAAGGTTATTTCCTTGTGTTGTAACTATCTTGTTTTATGGTGCAAACCTTTGCCCTGGGATTTCCCTGGCGAAAAAATCCTGGTCACGGGATTGGCCGTTATGCGTCATTGCAGATGGTTTAAAAACTGCTTTTTTTTGTGTGAAAATTGTCAGGTTATCTCAAAAATACACAAACGAATGATAAAAAAGATAATTTGATGGAGACCGAACGATTTTAAATTAATTACGCATCGGATGATTCATTCTCGTACCAAACAGAACAGAAATGTTAGGAAGAATGTACCCGATCAAGATAAGAGGTCGAGGAGGAGGGCTAGTACCATGAAGGATAAAACTAGTTCCACTCCCCCACCCCCTCTCACCCCTCTAACCCGTACTTTGATAAGAGGACAGAAAGAAGGGCAGTAGTAGACTTTTAATTAGAATACAATGAGAGATAACATTAATTTACCCCCCCCCCCTCTCAGGCCTCGTCGCTCACTGATCTCGAAAAAGAATCGCACAATTTGTAAGAGGTTGGAAGACTCCAACACCACCACCCTAGAAAGAAGAAAGATTTAGGAGAACCACTTCTGCGTAGATTAGACAATGTAGCCCCGGGGTCTAGGGCTGGGTGGTATGAAAAGGACGATTAAATTATACGAAGGACCAGGGCAGGGCTATAAGGGTTTTAGGATAAAATGTATCAACTGAGAGTCTGAGGGGGGGGGGCGGGAATGGGGGAGGGGGATATAACACCGGGGGTCTGAAGGGTATGGAATACCTCCCAAGAAAGAAAAAGTCGATGATCCTCTCCGGAATGCTTCACGAGAATGATGAGATCTTCAACATCTTGGGGGAGAACGTTACCCCTGGAGGTTGCAATACCCCAAGGCTAAGGGTTGTACGTAGTACCGGCTACCGCAAGTATTATATGAGAGTTACCAAGTCTCTAAAGGTTTCGGGGGATAACGCAGCACCGGTGGATTGGGAGGATATGCAATTCCTCCCTCTCAGATTCGATGGCCCCCACACGAAAAGGTTTCAACATTCTGGTGGAAAACGTAACATGAAGGGGTATGGGGGGGTTTCGATGGTCCTTTCACGAAAACTCTCATGACAGTGATGAGGGCTCGAAAGTTTGAGCGAAAGGGGCGAAATCGTCAACAAAATTTAAAATTTGGTGGCAGCCCAAGATACAGTCCTATCCTACCGCCAATCAAGGTCATAAATAGTGGCGACACACTCGACAAAAGAGCATCCTCCCACTTTTAATGCACCCTCCTATCTACAACTGTTACATGCTTCAAACCACATCATCCCTTCCTTGAAAATACAATACTAACATTCCAAAAATGAACTTTTAACAATTTTTTAAAAATTTTGCAGGGCGTCCATGGCTAGTCGTTAACATAAATTTTTTCTGAAACGTTGCCCAAAGATATCTATATTTAAGAACGTTCAAATTCGACTTTTACTTCTAATTTACGAATATTTTCTTAAAGATTATGGTAGTTTATATCACGAGTCAATAATGATAGCTATTATTCTCGAGGAATGTTTACGAACCAAGCCGCGGGATTTAGAGATTTGGAATAGTAGTAGAGCAGTTTAGGCTTTGCATATCATAGAAATCCTATAGGATGACAAAATGTAGAAGGCCGATTTTCCAATAAGTTATGTAATTGGTGGAATTGTAGTCCAAAGCCGCCCAATTTTTAAAAAATTGTTAAAAGTTCATTTTTGGAATGTTAGTATTGTATTTTCAAGGAAGGGATGATGTGGTTTGAAGCATGTAACAGTTGTAGATAGGAGGGTGCATTAAAAGTGGGAGGATGCTCTTTTGTCGAGTGTGTCGCCACTATTTATGACCTTGATTGGCGGTAGGATAGGACTGTATCTTGGGCTGCCACCAAATTTTAAATTTTGTTGACGATTTCGCCCCTTTCGCTCAAACTGTGTAATTCAAAACAGAAAGATTTCTCTGATGTTTTTTTGATTTACCTGAAGTGGGAAGTTATTTCCGTGCATACGCTAAAATAACATAAAATAGTACTTGGAGTTTGTAACGAAAGTAGTTGATTCTAAAGTATTCCTATTAAAAAATAAAAGTAAAGTGTCTTGCGTATTGGAAATTTCTCCTCTTTATATGGTCACCAAAAAACATATATGGAATTTCATAAAATTCTGTCGTTGAAGTAGCATTTTGCTCACTTGCTGCCCCCCAAATACAGTAACTAACCGTTTGAAAAAACTATGTTCAGAGAACATTTGCGCAAATTGAAGATTCATCAACGAGGATGGCCACCAATTTGTTAACATGATCACCTGCAAGGGGGTCGGTCGTCTTGTACGAGGTAGAATAAAAGGTCTGAACCTTTAAACAAAGCATCATAAATTATATTTCGATTGAATTAATGAAAATTTTAATTCTGTACTTTCTTAAAGAGATCAACCTATGGCAATTGAAGCCGTTTTGTATTGCATGTATGTACCAGTTAGAAAACCACTATAATTTTTTTCCATGATCAAAAAGTAAATATCTTCCTTGGCAGTATTCACATAGTAATCTGAAGGACGCCTTCCATTTCAGTGCAACTAGTTGTTGAAGAAATGTGACAGTTTTAGTTGCAACCAAGTCGATTTCTCGTAGTAGGTAAATCCAGTTTTGTCAAATTGAAAAAAACCATACATTGTCATTGTTTTAAAACGTACTCTTCGTGCGGTGATTGTTTCTTAATACTCAGTAGAACTTTTACAACCTTTGTGTCGACTTGTGTACTTTCATTGTTCTATTCTAGACAGGCTGTACGAGAAAAACAGCCATACTTTAAGTACATAAATGAAGAATTCCTTCTTTAATTAAAGCTTGCCCTTTAAATTAAAGTTATGCAAAATGTTTTAATGAACTGCACTTAATGTGATCGGTTGAAAGTCAAGCATTACGTCAGGAATAAATAAACATATACGGCGCGAAATTAAAACAAAAATAAGGAAGCATAGCACCGCCTAATTGGGGTTGTAAGCTAGCTTCCGTATACAATGGAAATAGGTGAATTGTTATGTCATACCACACCGTCTACTTCATTACGTAAGTTATGCGACAGTACAGGTTTCCAGCGAAGTATATTGGTTACGTCAGGTAATAAAATTACATCTTGGTAATGGAGATTCAATCACATTTCTTACGCCCGGTTTAAGCGATCCAATTAACTTTTAATTATCTCTTCTTCTTCGCGATGGAGACACGCGAAACTAAATCCAGGTGTGAATCAGGACATTAGACATAATTTTGTAGTAATTTTGGCGTGACTGCCAGGACGAAAAATCTAATGATATAAGAGGTATTTTGGCAGGTGAAGACTTTTTAGATCACGCAAGTTTTAAGAAATGCAACATGTCACTCACAGCAACAGACGTCTAACAAGTAAATTGTGAATTCTTCTACTTACCGGTATGTGGCATATTCTACGAAGGTTGGTATCTGCAACAAAAAAAATATTTAACCATTGGTGACGATAAAAGAAAGAGGAAACGATTAACGATTCTTCCTTTTCGCACTGGAAAATTATTGTTCGTGTTATGGAAACGGTGTTAGTGTATCGAAATCGATTATAAAATAGCAGGTAGACTCCGAATAACGTGGTTTATGTATTATAGGGGTGTGAGGTATATCTTAACCAAATTACATAGTAAAAATCGCCAAGACTTTCAACATAAAAAGGTTTTACGTTTTCATCGGCGATCAAAGGATTTAACTTTCCCTTTATAAATTCACCTTTTGCTTATAGTTGACGAATGTTGTGTGGCACAGCTTGGGGTACCGTGAAGGAGAGCGTGACGGAGAGTCGTTTCGTAGTCTTTGAGATGCTAATGTCACATAGGTGGTTTCGATTAAGCAAATTAAGCTCGCTACCTTGCGCTATACTTTTTTACATAATTTTATACGCGATATTACCTACGCAAGAAACCACTAATCATGGCAGTACAATTTTTCTTCGAAACTTTCGGATGGATATATGCTAATCTGATCTGATGGAAACTATGAAAAAGTTCCTAATAGTAATTCGAAAAAGACTTTCATTCTCTGAATGTTGCTGGTTGGGAGATCAGCGTGTCCTTAGCACTTCTATTATCACTGTCAGTATACTAAAAACTGGCTGGTTTATATTGTCGATCGTCGATACTAGAACATCCGATAGTTGACTAGATAACATTCTTTCTACTGACTAGGCGTTTAATTAACGGCGCAAACAAGTGACTTACACACCAAACTTTTTCCAAAAATTTGTGTCTGTTTGTCAGGCTGTCTTATGGGAGCATTATCTTTTATGCACAAAGTTTTACATCATATAACTACTATAGATAGATATATACATTATTATGTTTTATTTACATAACATCTACACGTACCTACAACAGTGAGTTTTTTTTATACAATAAGGATCTTAGAAATTAGAGATAGGAAGACGATTCAATGGGGAAAAATCGTCTTTGTATTTTGGAAAAAGATGCTTACCTAACTAGATAGCTTGCAAAAACTAATCCTTTTTATATTTCCTTTCCTTACAATTTTTCAGTTTAAACTCTTGATATCTTGCCCTCATTTTTCAGTGTAGAATCCTTTGTTGAACAGAAAAAAGAGGATTAAAAAATAAAGTCTGCATGTTTAGAACTGTGAAAATTATTATGAACATCTGAACACTGTACAATTTTGTTGTTCAGTTTTTACGGGTAAGGGTCCTATTTAAGCAAATTCTGACAATGTGCATTTTGATGAAGTATATTTTGCAAAGGTGTCGAAAAAACTCAAATAATACAAAGGTTTATGGTCTCCTATATCAAAATAATAAAAACTAAAACACCCCTTTTAAAGTAACAGAATCTTGATTCAACTTCCGATACAACAAGAAGTGGTATAGGATTCTAAACATTTTAACCTCATCGGATAATCCATATTGTGTAAACAACGTGACGTAGACGTTATTTCGATCTAAACACCAAAAATAATGACGGGATATCCTGTATATGAGAATATTTCAATTTATTAAGCAAATCTGGGATTATTTACGAAATAAACACAATTTTGGTCGTTTCATTTGAATTTCTATTTCATGGTTTGTTTTTCATTTTGAAATTGTTTTGTAAGTGGGTAATTGTTGTTTAAATTTGATCGCCTTTGTAAATTATTCAATTAGATAAGGTGTTAGAAGTGAGACACATCTGGTTAAATTTGCGTGTTTGATAAAAGGTCACATCTGATCTTTGCGAAATGAAGTTTTATTGTTAGGCAAAATTTAATTTCCACACGTGTTCTTTCGCTGACAAGAGGAAAGGAAGGTGTTACGAAGAATTAAGCGTTTTATTTCGGCGGACGATTGGCGCGTTCCATTGTGAGAGGCGATTTATTCGAAAATTGTTAAAGGAGTTCTTTAATGATGGAAGTGGTGTTTTCTTAAATACTGGAGATAACGAGAAGACGAGGCTTCTCTTTCGCCATGGTTTGAGAGCGTGGGGTTTATTTACGCTAAATTTTTCGGGCAGTCTACCTGTGCATGTGAAAACCTATTCCGTCCGTATTGTAATAAAGTGTGCGGAAGAAATTAAGCAACCTTAATAAAAGATTTAAGTTATTACATCGTCAAATGAAGTAGTAAAAGTTCGAGAGAAGCATTTTATCCTTCAACGGGAAAAGTTGCGTGGGTAGTACAAGTTGAATCAAGTAAGCATTTGCTGCATAGTGAAGTCTCTCTACAAAATTAGTTTATTCTACCGCCCGGAAAGCCGCCCAATGTTGTCTTCAAATTCAACAAGCCAGATTTTGTCATCAAGTTCAGTGTTATCAAGAACAAGTTAAGTTTCCTGAAGCTGTCAGCGAGAACTTTTGTGAGTTAAGTGCGCTTGAGTATCGAAAACCTTTTACGTATGTGTTTATTTGAACCCAAAGTGCGACCCGGATAGAGTTTTCATGTCGGGTTTTTCTATTGGTGCCCAAGATTTATTTCAGGTGTTGATCAAACTTTGTGTAATAAGTTCTTGGGAATTAGTTGCGATCGGAAATCAAATGTCTAACCTTAAAATTGGGAAATTTACTGATTTAATGAAGAAATACTGTCAAATTACTGTTAGTAAGTATTTAGCTGTCTACACTCGCGTTTATATTAATGTATTATTATCAATTTGCTCAGTATCTTCCATTTACGCAATCATAGTGATATTATTATATGTGTATTTCTTTTGCGTGTGCATATCTGTAGACTTGGACAAAATAAGGACTGTGAAAACGTTATATGTAAGTACAGAGGCTTTTTTTCGATCGCTTTGCTTTATTCGCACTCCTCCGTAGAACTAATACATAAGAATCTTTTTTTTCCTTCTTTGGGCAATTTGAAATGATTAATTTGTCATTTTTTAAGTAGCGTAGGTTTGCAATATGGCATCTCTCTCTTTCTCCCCCGCTCCCTTTTGATTCATATCATGTGCAGCCAAATGGTAACATTATTAATAGTATTCTATATTATTTTTTAATGTTTGCTTATGCAAAATTACTTAACATAGGTCTATAAAGTAGTCCTCATCTTAATTCTGCCTTTATATTAATTGCAAAGAAATAAATTAATTTAAAGCGACGAATTAAAGCGCGATATAAATTAAATGATCAAATCAAACTCAAAATTCCACGAAAATATTCAAAATTCCTAGAAATAATCAAATAAGTCTCAGAATACACTCTCGCCCACATGAGCAAAACCGCGAATCAATTTAACTGACCCTGATTGAGCACACGAATTAACTTAATTCCGCGAATTAACCCGGGAATCAAATCTACGATCACTGAAATGCTTGCCAGTGTTCTACTATCGCTTGGAATACTACGAAAAAGCATCTTAATTGCTTTATTATAAAGTTGATCAGAGAACTTCATTCCAGAACATTTTGAGGGGCTGTCCGGAATGCTAGTAAAATCTTTAACGTTGCATAAAGAAAATCTGTTTTATCTGTTTCGTCAACTAAATCTCTTTTGGGAAAACTTCCAGAATTATTGAACGGCTACCGGAAAACCTAATCAGAACAAAAAAATTCTACCAAAAATGGTCAAGAATATTCCAAGTGTTTTACTATAAAGCTCCATTACGGAAAGCATTAAATCGGACGGTGGCCTGTCCAGAACTCCAGCAACTCTTCCCAAAACAATTCTTATTGCTCAAAGTAAAAACGCTCCATAGTTTTTTTATTAGAGGGTGTCGGCCATAATTCTAGTCACAATACCAATTCTTTACAAGCAAGTAGTGTGACGCGATTGCCAGTTACCAGTCAGTCAGACCATACCTGCCGTTCTGTCCCTATATGCTGAAGAGAAGCCTTTACATCTTGTGAGCCTGGAAAGTGAGTGCTCATGGGGAGCTCTAATGTTTCCTTGGCGCCCACTGTGTGGACCTTGATTGTAATTCACTTTTATCTACCCCTAAAAGCGCTTTTTATCCTTTGTTGTTGGGGACGTATTTGGTATTTTTTATTTATTTTTTGCAAAGGCACTAATAGTATATTTCATTACGAGTCCGGAAAGCAGGCTTTTTCCGTGCGCGCGTGACAAATTCCCGTGTTCGGCTACGCCTCACACGGGAAGTCATGCAAGCACGGAAAAAGCATTTCTGGACATGTAATGAACGATATTTTTTATTATACTTCTTTTAAATCGATAACAAAAAACAACAAACTCGCCAACATTTTTATTTTGTAACAGTTATAGAAAATGCGTTTTCATGGTTACTCTCAAATCATTTCAAAGGCGATTTGTTTAATTAGTTTATTTCAGATTAGTTTGACGAAACGTCAAAAATTTCACAAAATCTCAAAGAAGTTTATCTAAATATTCAAACATCTACGAATTAAATCGCAAAATACTTACATATGAAACATTACAACGCATATAGAATTTCTGAAAATTAGTCTACGTCCCTGTAAATTTGTATTTTAAAGCAATATTTTGGGTATTTATATTCAGCGCACGGAAAGAATCAAAGGGACCGGGAAAAGTTTTTCCGTGCGCTAGCCTGGAAAAGGCCCGATACCATTATTTCTAATACAGGTGTAAATAAGGTGATTTCAATGAAGTATAATAAAAAAAATTTTTACTTTACATTGAACCCTAAAATATGAAAACGGTTTATGATATTTAATATTCCTATGAACGGCGTTATCCAAGCAACACTTTGCGATTGAATTGTGTGAAATCCATCATTTTCTAAAGTTTCCAAAAATGAGAAGAAACAAAATTGGCTAAAAATTCAAAACACACTAAGAATTGTAAGACGCTAAACAATCTGATAGAGGATGTAGATTTGTAGGAAACTGACGAATTGAGAGTATTGTTAGAAGACCCTTTTAACCTACAAACGTCATAATAATTGCCACCGGCGTTATTTATGTTGAATCTAATTCCGCGCATTCTCCCAAGCTTTGTGATCAAGTATTCTGTAAAAA